ACGGGCCGAAGGGGTTACAGTATATACAGATGCAGGCAAGAGGCTGCGTAAGGCAGTCTGTGCCTGGCAGGAGGGGGGCCAGTGGTGTCATCACATGATACAAGGACAGAATGGGGATTCGCTACAAACCTTGGAGCTGACCGCCATAGTCTGGGCCTTAACTAATTGGCTAGACGAGCCTTTGAATGTAGTAACCGACTCCTTTTATGTGGCCGGAGTGGTGCCACGGGTAACAGATGCCCTGCTTAGGGAAACGGTTACCCCTGTATTAGGTAAGCTTTTTATCCAATTGCGGACCGTAGCCTGCAGTAGATAAGTTTCAGCAAGCCAGACAGAGTCATGAGAGTTTCCACCAAAATCCGAAAGGTCTGCGAAGGCAATTTGGGCTGACAGAGAATGAGGCTCGTTATATTGTACAGGCCTCTCCCAAGTGCGGAAATCAAGGTCCAGGGGTAGGCCAAGGGGTCAATCCAAAAGGTCTGCAGGCACTTGCGTTATGGCAGATGGATGTGACGCATGTTCCAGAATTTGGGTGACTGAAGTACGTCCATGTCACAGTAGACACCTTTTCAAAAACGATATGGGCTACTGCTCTACCTGGGGAGAAAGCACAACAGGTTTGTAAGCACCTACTTGCGTGTTTTGCGGTACTGGGAGTGCCTGAAGAAATTAAGACTGATAATGGACCTGCATATGTCAGTCAAAAGCTACGATCGTTTTTATTGACGTGGGGAGTTAAGCACACCACAGGGATCGCACATTCCCCAACAGGGCAAGGGCTCATAGAGCGTACTCATCGTGTGCTGAAGGACTATTTAGACAAGCAGCGAGGGGTTGAAACAGAAGCGCAACCAAGGTTGCATTGAGTTCTTTTCACATTGAATTATTTGTGCCTTATGGGTGATCGGGAAGCACCGCCGGTGGTTATACACCACCAGAACCTAAGGTTCTATAGCACAACGACTCTGACGCTGTTTAAAGTAATCTATAGGGACCCAACTACTGGAGAATGGGCTGGCCCAGTACCAGTAATCTTTAATGGTCTAGGATATATGTGTGTTTCCACAGATCGCGGTCCAGTCTGGGTGCTTAGCCGAGCCGTGAAGCCTGCTTTGAGTCAACAAGGAAAGTTAGCCGAGGAACAACATGCAGACTCTCACGAACAGAACAATCAAGTAGAAATAACCTGAATCAAGGAAGAGATATATGAACGGTCACAAGGAGATATTTGTCGCCAATATCAATTGTGATGTTTGTAAGACCTGTAAACCTTGGATTTTGTGTGTTTGCTACACTTGCCAAGGACAGTGGTGGTGTCGAACATCACTTGCAAGGTGCTGGTGTGATCATTGCTTTGTAGAAGAATGCATCGTAGCTCGTATTTTAGTTGTTACAGGGCACGAGGTGGAAGGGAGTGATAGTTACTTTAATAACTGCACAGACTGGGAAAGATTAACAAACCAAAGAGCTAGAACTGTATTGGTAAATGGTCTTGAATGTAGCCGAAGTAATCTAGTACCTGCTATTTGGACCGTCCCTAAAGCAGAATGGGAAAAAACGAAGATACAATGTTTACGTCGGTTTGGATGGAAACGACAAAAGAACAAGCGGTTATCCTGTTAGTCGTGCCTTTTGCTCTTTGCCAAATAGCTGGAGGAGGAGGAGTCCTTCACCGCATTGAGCCCACACAGAACCTATGGGTTACTTGGGTGAACAGAACGGGCCAATCAGCATTTTGCTTATCTCTTGCTTCTGCAACAGAACCTTTTTGCACTTCTTTAATAGGTGTACCTAGTTATGATGTTAGTCATTTTGCTAACTACAGTACAGGCAGATGTGCGAAGGAAATTCAGGTCAGTAACTGTAGTGCAAAACTCATACGAGGTCTAAACTGTACATTACCCTGGGATCCTCAAGAGTTGAACGTGCTACAGTCAATGAGAACTGGTAACACGACTAACAGCTGGACTCAAACGTGTTTTGTGTTCACAGGGCCCGCCTTTACTTGAACCAATCATTTCCGTTCCTTCAGCTGGTCAGGGTGGACTAATGTTACTCTGACTGGTTCTTATTATGACTATCAAGGCCGTTCCAGAACTGTCACCTTTTGTGGTACCAATAACACAAACAAAAAGAGCCCCCAAACTTAGGCACCTATGGAATGAAAATGAGAGGTGGTTTTCCCTTGTGGAATAATGATACATACGCCCAAGGCCCTGCGACAGGGCCTGGCAAGCAATTCCTCATAAATTCTTTTTTGTTAATCATTGGGATAGGTTGTCATGTGAGGGTATATGCATTAATGTACTACTCATCTGTTCAGCAGATAGAAAGGAATTCCTGCACTGCCTCTTGCATATCCATATGTTCTCTGTATGTAAACCCACAGTTTTAACACGAACATCAGTGTTCAAGATAACCTACACCGACACATAAGTGACGGTCTTATTCTTCCTTATTTCCTAGGCTGTACATTTGGTATGGAACACTGCTAAATAAAACCAAATCTATTTCAACTATAATTTCTGTGAACTATATCATAAGTTATTTCTCAGCAAATCTGTGTAGATCAAAGAAAATATTACTCAAGCCTTTACTCAGGTTGTCTACTTTTTGTAGTACAAAGATCTGCATAAAGTGGCTTGGAACACTTCTTTCTTTCTTTATGAAAGTAGTAAGTATCTATCCATCAAGTACCTTCTTTTAAAAATTTGTCCAAGGCCACTGTTCTAATGTAACCATATATGAGAACAAAGTTAATTTTTAGGATTTAGATCTGTTCAGACAAAACAATTACTTATCTGAATACATTACTATTATTAGGTGTGGAGTCCTCGTTGGATGAGAGAGGACATAGTCTGGTGTATTGAGCAACCCAGGCTTTGTCCCAGAGATAGACCTGGAAAGCAGCAAACGAGGAACCCTGCTGAGAGAGTAAAGTGGCAAACACGGAACACTGGTGCCGCAGGGCTGCCGCACCACCGTTTCCTGCCGTGTCACTGCTTCCTGCCACAGCGCTGCATCCGGCCACGTCGCCGCTTCCTGCCACAGTGACGTTTCCTGCCACAGTGCTGCTTTCGCATCGAGAAATGAAGCTTTGCACCAATTGCAGCAGTTTTGATTATATATGGTTAAGAGTAACTAACCAATTAGAAGCCGTAGTTGCTTTGCTATATATATCCTGTTTTGATGACTAATAAAAGAGAACGATCTTACTCACATTGGGATTGTATCGTTTCTATCAGTTCCAAGTTCCCACTCTGACAATTAGGCACCATTTAAAATCTGTTTTACAATGTAAGTAAGCATAAATTAATTTCTTATTTTCGTAGTCTTCTGCTCTACGGTGGCACAGTAAGCATGGATCCTATAAAAGGGAAGCATGAACGCAGAATTGCAGCTGAAACTATACTGTAACACAACGTAATAGGTTTCACAACTCAGCTTGGATATATCTTAGCTTTAGGCTAAGAAATATAAAAGCAAAACAACAGACTTCTAGGTTTTAGCCTGAGGACGCTTATGATGATTGCTTTTCCAACATACACAAGTTAGTCGAACCTTCTCATTGCTGGGATGTCTCACCCTTTTGATGAGTCTGATAATTTATTAGGAACATCCTCCATTAGCTATTTCTTTAGAACCTTGTACCGTGACATAGTCTCCTCTTTCTAAATTTCACAACACATGTATCTGTTCTTGATACATCACACAAAACTCATTTCCTTCTATCATCAGTACTTTTTCAGGAAAAAAATTTACTTTCTATAATGTTTCAGTTCCTTGTTAGATAAAAAAAATCAAATCATTCTGATGTTCAGAGATTGAGTTTTGTTCAGAGATAAAGTTAAAATAATTTCCAAGTACGAGAATTCTTTGTTAAATATATTTCCTGTTAGCTACCCACTTCTCCAGGACTCATAAAACAAAATCCTTCACTTTCTGTCACTAAAATATTGAAGCACCTCTCTTTATTCGAAACAAACCAAATAACAACAACAAAAAGAATATTGTTTCAAGAAAGTTAAATACCTAGAAAAAGTATTCGTGTTCCTTTGTATGCATGGTGGGTAATTTCAATCTCTTAAGAAATACAGTTCAGAACAGGACCTAGAAAATTAAGTGCTGATCCAACAGCTGAACCAGCTGAACTGGCTGAAAATTTCAACAAACCAACCCTCCTCACGGGACTCAGGACTTCTGTTTCCTTAGAGATCTTAAGGTTATAATGAAAAAAAA